GCCTCTCTCCATTGGCTTGTGTGAATCACCCACTTTGTCAGGAATGGGAGAATACTTGTTCATTCCAGGCAGCTTCTCTCCCACACCAAGTCTGATCTGTTTGGGGTCCGTCTGTCTGTTGGTGTATATGTAGTGAGGGTGTGCACTTGAGCACCACCAATAAATGTATCTTACTATAGAAGTGCCTTCAGTATACAAGAATAATTCCCTGGCTCTGGTGAGTATGCTTCTCTTTCAGCTCATTTCTTCGAGGAAGGCCAGGCAAAGGGATTGTCACCCTGTGGCCACCCTGCGCAGTCACTGCCCCTCTACCTCCACACACGCCTGCACACACCTCCGTGAAGGATTCGGCCACTGGCTGCCACTGCAGCCATGCAGGACACAGGCTGCCAGCTGGCCTTAATCAACGACACCCAAAGCCTTTCTGCCCCAGTACCGGGCCTCGCAGGGTGAATCTTTTGTAAAAGAGAAGATTGTCATGAAATGAGGCAGAGAGAAGAGCGGCATAAAGCAGACCGAGAGTGAGCCCGCCTCTGCTCTCCCTCAGACCCGCGGTCAGGGCCGCCTTGGGGTTTCCTGAATCTTGGGGCGCACATTGAAGAAAGCTGGCATATGAGTCCCCAGTGCTGAAGTTCTTCCTTTGGTCCATTGTGTCCGGATTTCTTGGTGGATTTAAACAACCAGAACTATTCACCTGGTTTTGGGTTGGGCTTATAGGAGGTGGTTTGGCCTATTTAATAAGAAATTGTGATGACAGATGGCCAGAGTGCTGGTGGGAGGAGTCCTGGCTGGAAATACTCACCACATCTGCTCTGCCAGTTAAACTGGCCTGCCTCACGGGGTAGCTCAGGGTGTGTGCTTAGATTTAGATGAGAAACAGCACTCTACTCCTATCAAATCATTCCTCCTTTACCTTCACTCCTAATTCCCAAATTAATGTGAAATCTTAGAAATTTTGGCTATTTGGTATGATATACAAATTAGTGGGAAACCATAGAATATTTTTAATGGTAGTTTTATAGTTCAAAATACATTAGAAACTAGGATTTACAGACTCTTATATAGAGTTCTTTAAAGAACTTAACCTACAGATCGTAAGAGGATTTTGCCATTGGCTTATCTATTTTTATAAATCCTACTTATTCCTGGGATTGAGGTGGGGGAGGAATGGTTTGAAATCTTAACAGAAATCCTATCACCATTAATTCTGTTGTCTGTATCAGAGAAGGTGTGGGGAAACATTGCAGTTCTGACATTTTAGCTGGCATTTACCTTTTCCTGCTTCACCAAAATTTAGGTAGAGAAACTAGTGATTGGAATCATGAGCTGCTCGGAAACCAGAATGCATTTCTGGCATCTGACTTTGCTAAGGCGAGGAGGCATTTGAGCTGGAAATGGACAGAGGGGCCCTATTCATTGGCCGTTGTCAAAATCCCACCTTCAGATCATGGATTTTGTAAGTGGAATTCTGGCCCGCTGTGTGACAGTGGCTGCAGAGACAGGGGGCTTCGCGGATGGTGGTGACACAGTTTGCTGTTGGTTGTCTCAGTAGTGTAACTGGAAAAACCTGTCTGAGTGCTGTGTAGGGAATACGCACTCTTCCGCTAATAACCCCTACAACCAGAGTCTAGCAGAGGTTGGACACCGACGTTAGCCACTCATTTAGGAGCTGGGTTGTGTTTTGGAGTGTAAGAGTCGTTACCTGGTCGGTGCGGGACCCAGGTCCTCACCTTAGAATGAGTGCTGCGGTGGTGGCCCCCTTAGTGAGGACACACACCCATGGGCTGCACAGTGAGCGAGGCTTTGCTTGTAGGGGTGCTCTTCTGGAAGACTTCTAAGTTGTGTTTTTTAATTTAAGGAAAGACCCACCAAATTATTACCCCTAACTCGTGCATAAAATTGCAGCAGTAATATTGTGCTTTTGTGTACTTCTGAGGTGTTCGCTTCTTTAAATGTTGGCACAGACGGGTTGAATGAGGTCTTCTAAATAACTTGGTGACAGTTGTGAAGGGTTGTGGTAGAAGCCTTGGATTGGAGTTCGGAAAACAAATTTGGTTGGGATTCCTACAGACAGTAGCTGGGTGACTTTGTATACATTATTTAACGTCTCTCAGCCTGAGCCTTCCTCTGTGGTGAAGATGCACGATGAGGAGTAGAGACAGGAGCCCAGAACCTATGGCCCAGGAGCAGACGGTGCCGTAGTCAGCAGGCCGCCACTGCTTCACCCTCAGGGAACCTGGGCCCTCGCCCCTGTGGCTCTGGTCCTGGGGGGACTCCAGTCCTTCACCACATGCTCTTACAGAGGCTGAATTTCTGCCTCCAAATGGTAACCAGTTGTAGCTTGTAATTTTATAAATTGCACACATACATTGTTGGTGTGTAGAGCTGTAGTAATAGGTAGCCATTAGAGAATCCATATGGGACATTTTGGAGTTCTGTAAAGTGTTTCATGTTTCTCACAGTAGGTTTGGGATTGGTGAAACTAAAAATGCTCTGAAAAAATGTACCCTAAACAGTTTTTAAAGGAGAGATAACTGGATACTTCTGATAGGTCATTGTTAATTCTGGGTGTTGGTATGAACTCTGCAAAATCTAGAGCAAAGGGCTGGTCAGGGTGGGGATAATTTGGCTGGTGTCCACACTGGCCCCACTAGCTTCAGGACAGCCCCATTTTTTTCACCAAGAAGTTTGAGTTTAGTTTTTATTTAACCTATCTAGTACTCAGTAGTTGACTAGCCTTATACTTGCTTGCTCTTTGAACCCTGCAGAGTTGAGTTTTAAGAGCGTGTTTCATATCTATTTTATAGAGAAAGTGTTACTTTTTAAATAAGTCTACTTCTGAACCATTGGTAGAGGTGCCATTATTCTCTTTAAAATCGTAAGACTGAAAGGGAAGCAGGATGTAGTCTCCTGGGCAACATTTGTCTCGTCAGATACTCAGTGTGTCGCCTGTTTTCCTTCCTCACATGTCTGTATGACCATCGCGGAAATGCCGGCCCAGGGCCCGCGGTTGCTGATGCTCGTGGCCCAGCCTGAGCTGCAAGCCCTCTGCATGGGGACATGTACATGGGAAACAGGAGTTTGTGTCCTAACTTACGGTAAAATCCCACTGACTTTCGTGTTTTAAAAAAATTCTGGTAGAACACATGAATCTGTATCTTCTACATAAGTACAGGTGGTGATCTTGCCAATCTTTAAAGAACTGTGGTGACTTTAAGTATCATTGGTATTTAATATAGAGCATCAGGCGACAGCTTTTGTCTTTAACTTGCAAATAAAAACTCACCTGGCCTGCGGGAGCCATTCCAGATGTGGAGAATAGCACCCAGTGTCCTCTACTGCACACACGGACTGAGCAGGTTGGTGCGAGCCCGCGCCAGGCAGCGCGCTTCTCCCTCCCCCGGCCTCTGCTTTATAGTGGCAGGAGGAGCCCCTGGGGCGGGGGGCCTGATGTCGCATCTCCTGTAGGCCTCCCCATGTGGATGGGCGGTTCGGGTGTTGTTACGGCTACAGTGAAGATGGGAAGCAGAAGCTGTTGGGCGCAGATTAAATGACTTGCTCAGCATCACATGGTGGGTCAGTAACAGGCCTGGATCTGGGTCATCCTGTCCGTCCGGCCCATCTGCCAAGCCAGAGGAGAATTCTTGCAGGATGGGTGCCGTTGTTAGGGTTTTAAGGATATTTTGCCCTATTTCTTTTTCTCAGTAAACCTTTTAATATGGAATAGTTTCAGATTTACAGAAAAGTTGCAGAGCCTAGTACCGAGTTCTCATATACCCACATCGGGTCCTCCGTTGTTACGTCAGCTCGGGGCATTTGTCACGACTCTGAGCCAGTGTTGGTGTGTCATCACTAACTGATGCCCATACTTTCTTCAGCGTTCCCTCGTTCTTACCCCGTGTCACTGTGCCCCAGCAGCCTCCCCCCTGCCCAGCACACAGTGTCGTGTTTAGTCGCAGGCTTCGGTAGGTTCCTGTGGCTCTGACAGTTTTGAGGCACATTGCACAGGCATTTTTTAAACATCCCTTAATTGGAGTTTGTCTGATGATTTTCTCATGATCAGACTGAGGGTTTTGGAAGGAAGATCACAGAGCGAAGTGCCATTGTCGTGACCTCATAATAAGAGTACATGTTCTCAGACAGCATCAGACTCACAGACACTGAAAGGTGACGACTGGTCACCGAGGGGCACTGAGGGATGGTGGGCGGGGCAGGGGAGGGGCGCTGTTGAGCCGCCGTGATGTAGATCCGGTTTTTTAGAAGTACCTGTGGTCGCCTGGCTACCCCTCTCTATGTCGGCCCTGGTCGCTCGGATGATGTGGGGTTCTCCGCTGTGCGGTGACTTCCCCTGTTCTCCACTGTGCCCCTAGGACGGTTGGTGCCCTGCTGAGGCCACGCCGCCTGGAGAGGGAGGAGCTGTATAAATCACCTGGGATTTTTCTGAATCGGAGACTTGCCTACTTCTGTCAACTCAGCAAATAGTACCCCGGCATTTTTTCTTAGGCCCGTCAGGTGTGAAATCGTGCCAGGAGGAGCTGGAGTCGTAGAGAGGATAGGTCATGAATTCACACCGTTCTGAGTTCACTGACGTGTTTAAGAAAAGCAGCCTCTGTGCTAGTGGAGGAGGGGACCTTAAGAGAACAAAATAGCACCCCCAGGTGATGAATCACGCCGAGAGACCAAGGGAGGTTTGTTACGGAGAGCGGGGCCGTAAGCAGGAACTTCATTCTCTCAAACCCGGTTACAGGAGGACAAAACTTAGGAATTTGGGGAAAACAATGTCAGTGAGCTTATACATTCCCAGCATGCCCTGGATATGAAAGCATTTCTCACCTCCTAAATAGGACACTTCCCACTGACAAGGTCGTCAATAATTCCAAGCCAGGGAGGGTCATGCACGCGTGTCTTTTCTGTTAAGCCCCTGACCTGGCGGCGGCCCTGAGCCATGTCTGCTGGCCGCTCCCTGGGCTCACACTCTGCATTTCCCCCTCTCTCCGCAGAACTCCATCCGGCACAACCTGTCGCTGCACAGCCGCTTCATGCGCGTGCAGAACGAGGGCACCGGCAAGAGCTCGTGGTGGATCATCAACCCCGACGGCGGCAAGAGTGGCAAGGCCCCGCGGCGGCGCGCCGTGTCCATGGACAACAGCAACAGGTACGCCAAGAGCCGCGGCCGCGCCGCCAAGAAGAAGGCGGCGCTGCAGGCGGCCCCCGACGCGGCAGACGACAGCCCCGCTCAGCTCTCCAAGTGGCCCGGCAGCCCCGCGTCGCGCGGCGGCGACGAGCCGGACGCCTGGACGGACTTCCGCTCGCGCACCAACTCCAACGCCAGCACCGTGAGCGGCCGCCTGTCGCCCATCCTGGCGGGCGCCGAGCTGGACGACGCCGCGGATGAGGACGCGCCGCTGTCGCCCATGCTGTACGGCAGCCCCACCAGCCTGTCGCCGTCGGTGAGCAAGCCGTGCGCCGTGGAGCTGCCGCGGCTCACCGATATGGCGGGCACCATGAACCTGAACGACGGGCTGGCCGACAGCCTCATGGACGGCCTGCTGGACACCATGGCCCTGCCAGCGGCACAGCCCGCGGCTGCGGCGCTGCTGCCGCGGAGCCCCGGCTTCCCCTACCAGGCCAAGGGTTCCGGCCTGGGCTCCCCGCCCGGCTCCTTCGGCGCCGCCGCGTTCGGGCCCTCGGCGCTCGCCTCCCTGCGCCAGTCTCCCATGCAGACCATCCAGGAGAACAAGCCAGCCACCTTCTCGTCCCTGCCGCACTACGGCGCCCAGACGCTCCAGGACCTGCTCACGTCCGACTCGCTCAGCCACAGCGACGTCATGATGACCCAGTCGGACCCGCTGATGTCCCAGGCCAGCAGCGCCGTGTCTGCCCAGAACTCGCGCCGGAGCGTGATGCTCCGCAGCGACCCGATGATGTCCTTTGCTGCCCAGCCTGCCCAGGGCAGTTTGGTCGGTCAGAACTTGCTCCACCACCAGCACCAAGCCCAGGGCGCGCTCAGTGGCAGCCGTGCCTTGTCAAATTCCGTCGGCGCCATGGGCCCGAGCGACTCCAGCAGCCTGGGGTCCGCCAAGCACCAGCAGTCTCCCGTCAGCCAGTCTATGCAAGCCCTCTCGGACTCCCTCTCAGGCCCCTCCCTGTACTCGGCCGGTGCAAACCTGCCCGTCATGGGCCACGAGAGGTTCCCCAGCGACCTGGACCTGGACATGTTCAACGGGAGCTTGGAGTGCGACATGGAGTCCATCATCCGCAGTGAGCTCATGGACGCGGACGGGCTGGATTTTAACTTTGACTCCCTCATCTCCACGCAAAACGTTGTTGGTCTGAGCGTGGGGACCTTCACTGGTGCTAAGCAGGCCTCATCTCAGAGCTGGGTGCCAGGCTGAAGGACCACTGAGGAAGGGGAAGTGGGCGAAGCAGGTCAGTGCGTGGCGCGGCGCCGCAGTGAGGACAGAGGGGCCGGCGGGGAAGGGGGAGGTGTGCAAGCAGGTCAGGGCCGGTGCTGTGCTGCCGTGAGTCAGGCTGGGGCCGCCGCCTGTCATTTACCAGAACTTTACTCCCCTGGGAGAGCTTGGGAACCATGGAGCAGGGGGCACAGAGCGCGGCTCCCAAGCCCTTCAGCTCCAGGCGTTACCTGCAGACAGACAGGGCTGTCAGGTGCCCCTCCCCACCTTTTGCCAACCGCTGAGAAATTTTACCATCAGTAAAGAGAACACACACACATTCAGAGGTTCCATTCTTTGTGTCCAGCCGCCCTCGCTGACCTATGACACAGCCCCCTGCTTGAATGATGGATGAGGCAAGGAAGGAGGGAGGGAGGACCTTAGGTCATTCAGAGGCCAAGGTCAAGGACCAGCCTAAGGACTTCCTCAGACTCTCAGGTCTGACTCTGCCATTGTTGCTCTCGGATGTTACGGAGTCCTTGTCTTCTTTTACCAGTAAAATTAACCATTTGTAGGTACTTGTCATTTAACTGTAGAATATGAATTCTGGGTTCTTTCACACACGAGTATTTCCACCAGGGACATGATCCACTAGAGTCCTTGCCCTGGTGGTAAGCTCCTGAACAGTTGGCACAGCATCCGGGCATAGCGGGAGTGACGGAGCCACACCGGAAGCTGGTGTGTCACGTGTGAGCACGCCTACTCGTGCACTTCCCATCCCGGTGTCTGATGATGTCAGCTTCCAGGCGGAGCAGTGTGGGTTGTGGCTGGTCAGAGATTGTAAAAATTGTGACATTTTAACACTGTTAAGCCAGAAAGATCATACCTGTGATGTAACTGGAAAAGCGTTTGGTTACAGCCAGAAGCTGAAGAGTCTTCCCACTTGGGCTCTTTTCTGGCCACCCTCAGGAGCATGTCACTTAGGGGCTGAGCCTCAGTTTCCAGCTTTAAAAGCTGAAAATAATAGCTCCTTTCACTTCCCAGCGTCATTGCAAGAATCAAGTGCACTGAAGCATGTGAAAGTAATTTTTATAAAACAGCAGAGGGCTGAATGGTGTGATCTGGTCAACATACCGAGCAGTAGATTAGTAAGGGAGCCCAGAGAGGTTAAGTAGTTTGCTCAAGGTCACACAGCTGGATTCAGAATCCACATTTCTTGAATGACTTGAACTGTTGTAGTTCTCCCTAATTTTCTCCAGATAGTAAAAAAAATGGGAAGTATTCTGAACTGGAGCCAGGTTAGCAGATATTACACAAACTAGCCCTGAAACTCCTTCTCAAGAAGAAGGTAGGGAGCACTGGGGTCTTTTGCTGACATCTTTGTATTCCAGAACCTCCCATGTTCAAGGGCTCTTTTCTGGCCCCAACTCTCTTTTTCTTTTTCAATCTCAACAAGGTATTTATGTCCTTCTTTAAAATGGTGTAAAGGAGAATGGGATTCAAAGCCCTGAAAATCTGAGCTTTGTTTAACCCTGTGCCCCAGTGAGGGAATTAGAAGGGTCTCCCGTGGCGGGCTCACTCCAGCTCATGGGCTGTGTAGAAAGGCGTTGTGTCAAGAGTGTTGTTATGCCAAAGCTGCTCAGCTTTTCCAGTCATGAGCAGCCCCCTAATGGCACACAGACATCTGTTTTGAGTGGTTTAATAACCCTTGAGATGGTAAAAGACTGTAATGGAAGCTAAATAGGGTGCCACAACTTTCATAGCAGAACCCCGACTGCTGGAGGCTTGCCTTGAGAAATTTGGATATTTGGCTTTTAGAGGAATAAATAATCTTTCTTTATGAAGAGGAATGTGATTGTAGCTTCTAAAGACACAAGTATGTTTTAATTTTGGTATAGTGGTAAGGAGGCCACTTCCTAGTTCATTGAAAAGAGTAAGCTCGGAAGAAAATGTACTGTCCGTTTTTGTCTGAGGTTTCAAGTGTAGGTTTTTGTTTTAGTTGAATAGTAGACCTTTCTAGTTCTAAAAGATTGTATAAAATTATTTTAAGGGAGACTTAAATACTTAAGTTTTTAAATGTATGCAATGAATTATTATTTTGATAATAACTACTTTGGGGTAGTTTAATAGTACATATTGTTATTAAGCCCTAATGGAACCTTTAGTCACCTTTTTCTCAGAAGATTTTGGGGAGGTTGTTTTGAGAAGCAGTTTCCTTAGTTAAAAATGAAAAAAATCACCTAATATGACCAGAGCAAGAAAAGAAACTTCCTAGAGACTGTGCAGGGACCTTTGAGGGAGTCTGGTTTCTGGGCTTAGGATTTCCGTCTTGCTTTGGAACGAATTGCTCCTCTAAACAGCAAGGAGCACATTTGGCCTGAAATATATTCTTTACTTTTAAACTTGTAGCTGTCATTTTACTGAAGAGTCTCTCCTAAATTCTAGCACAGGCCTGAGGTCACACCTCAGACTTATTTCACTTCTCCCAACTTAAGCACCCCCAGCTTCCCACGATGTTCTGGAATGATGTTCTTGGTTTGGCTTCTTTTTTTTAAACCAGTAGCCAACAGCATTCTGCAGGCTCCCTTCCTGGCTTGTTAACTGAGCCCTGCAACCCTGAATTGGTGCTGTCTGATTGTGAGTTAATGGAGCAGCTCTGTCCAGTTGACAGTCTTGCTGCAGAGCTGTGGAGCGGTCCTTCTCTAGCACGCTGTGCAGTTCATGTGTCATTCATTTCAGACCACATGTAAAATCCCTTGACCCGTGGGTCTATCTAAAAGAGAGAAATAACCATACCTTTCTATGAGTGCCAGCTACTGGGGTATGGAGGACACTTTTTTTCCAGTAAAATTAACGATTTGCAGGTACTTGTCATTTCACTGTAGAATTTGTAAAGCTGGGCGCACATACATGCAAATCCGTGAGCTCGTGTGGTGATTACAAGGCTGAGCTTCCAATAAGCCCTCTGAATCTGCCAGGTCTCCTCTTGGAGGGAAAGCAGCTTCAGTCTCACTGTAGTTTTCATGTCAAAAGATGCTGCCTAAATTCACAAGCTCTTTCATTCATCTTCATCTGCTGGCATTTGGAGAATGTGAAGGAGCAGCCTGTATTTAGTTTTGTCTTAAACTACTTTATGACAAAGAATGGAAAATACCAGCCAGAAGGGAGAGGGCTAGTCTCTTGTTTCTGCTGCTGGCCTCATCGCTAATGGGTCTCTTAGAATAGTAGGTTTCTCATCTGTCAAAAGAGGACAGTCATAGAGTTTTAACAGTGTATAGTTTGCATAATTTAAAACCTGAAATCTAACATTCTTTTTCTGAATAGGCCAGGGTAAGAGATGAGTGATGACTGGGAAATATAAAGCAAGAGTTGTGTGCTGGCGTGGGGACAGCAGGCTCCAGGGTCAGAGGCTGTCTGGAGTTTGTATTTAGGGCTCTTCCCAAAAAGAGTGAATCTGTGATACTTGTTGGACTGATGTTTGATTCTGTTAAGCCTTTAAATACTCATGGGGGAACAGGCTTAATTCTAACCAAATACCAGCAACACAGGCAATTTATGTCATGGTTTTTCTTGATGTAGATATTTCCGTGCTGGGGAATGTAAGGCACGGTACTATGCCTCTGTCTGTGTCCCAGGGGGGACACTCCGTCATCTATGGCTGTGACTCTGGTCTGTCCTTGGTTATAGTCTGCCAGCCTCAAGAATGCTGTGTCTTCAGGGACCTTTATTCTCACCTTTTAAGAAGCCCAAGGTCTGAGCTGTGTTCACGGAGAGAGTGGCTCTCAGGGTCCTTTTGGTGTTGACAGCAGTGCAGGGACATCAGCAGGGCTGTGCGCTCCGTACACTCTGTCCTGGAGGGGGGTACGCAGCCCCGGGGGCTTGCCCGTGATGCACCCGTGGTCACCTCGGCCAGCCTGCTTCATGCTAGGACAGCCTGCACCACTCTCCCTTCAAGCAGTCACATTTATAAATGGCTTTCCAGAGGTCTTTTTTGGCTACAGAGCTTATTTGGAGCATAAATATGTAGGGCAAAAATCACCAGAACTGCTACTGGAAATTCTTGTTAACTTCAAGTTCCTGTTAAATGCTGCTTTTTAGAGGGTTCACAATGCTCAATATTTAACATCTTATAAGTAACATTTTCTGTTACAAGGAGGGTCTTCCTGCAGCAGCTGTTCGTGTGGCTCCCAGGCCTGCCTTTCTCCATAGACTGGACAGAGGGTCTTGCTGGGATCTGCTGCTGTGCCATCACCAGGGTCTGGCCTGCCTGAGGCCTGCTTTGGCCCCTGGCGCAGGTGGAGGGACGTTTGCCGAGCGCGTTCTTTTCTCAACTTGGAGGCACATGTTAATACTGAATTTTCCTTCCACCTTGAAAGAACCATCACCTGGTTTTGTTAGGTATTCATTTGGTTTGAAAACATGGCTTTCCCCCATCCTCCAAATTGTTTTGAACTTTAAAGTTTCCAAAACTAAAATAAAATTTTGTTTTGCAAAGTAGTGGTACTTGAGATATTTAGAGGCCCTGTAAGTCAGTGTTTGTCAAAGTATTTCACAGAATATTAGATCCTCAAGACACTCATGGGTGTTAAGTGGAAACAGATTCTGTGGTCGAGCGAGTGTGAGGAATACCATGTTAAACTGAAATTGAGTTGTTTCCAGTGGGACTTCTCAGAGCCTTGAAAGTTCATATGCCCCATGAACCTTCTAAACTAGGATTGCAGTGTTTCGTAAATGCTTTTGAGATCTTGAATCAAATTCTTTTTCTTCAGGAACCAGAGGACCAGTATTCTAAGGAACCCCCTAAGAAATCTTGCCTTTAATATTGCTGAACAAGGTCAGGCACCCCTCAAGAACCAGAGACTCTGCTTTTTCCCTCTTGATTCTCACTGAGTTTTTTATGCCCTTGTCATGTCCCAAGCATTTCTCAGCTGTGGAGTGGGTTCCGCTCCTGGATAGACGAGCTGCCTGGCACAGTGGCAGGCCCCAAGTGGGTAGGAGTGCTCAAGCCTGAACTCACTGAACTCGTTTATGGAGTACCCGCGGCATGGGGGTGAGGGTGCCCCTGTCCAGGCCTGCACAGCTGGTTTGGAAGGTGGTGCTCTTGTGACCGGTCATCGCAGGACAAGACTGCCGACACGCTTGCCTTCTGGAACGACCCTGCTCTCAGGTGTCCTGTTCCATCATTGCACAGTCTGCCCTGTCCACCTTGGGAGGCAGGAGCTGAGGCCCTGCTACTCAGCCCCCATCCTGGCAGGGCGGGGCTCAGGCGAAACGTGGGCCCTGGTCTCTGCGCACAGCCCTGCAGGGCCCCCGCTGTGGGCTTGTTCTCCCCGGGGCTCTGCTCCAAGGGCACCCATGGGTTTAAACCACCTCCGCTGCAGTGCACCCCAGGCTCAGGGCCGCGGTGGTGCGTGCACCCTGGCACAGGGGCGCTGGGGCACGGTTGCTGTTTCCGCAGCTGTGCGTCTTGAGCCAGTCCGCTCGCTGCGCCTGTTGCTCTCCTGTGAAATGGGTTCAGAAGAGAGCCTACCCCACAGAGCTCTTGTACGGACTAGCTCTGGTGTGGGCTGAAGCCCTCTGGCAATATTTTAAAACATTATTTAATGTTTATTCTTACTTAGAATGGCTCTAGAGGGTAGTGTAGAATGAAAGGAGCAGCTGAGCTGGCCTCGCACCACCGGCAGGAAGAGCAGCTGCTTTTGGAGCCAGTCAGGTCTCTCTTCACTGAAAACATACAATAGTTCCTGTTGTGCAAAGCCTCTGAAGTTCCCTAGGATTCCTGCCTCCCGGTTTGGGGGACCCACGAAAGATGCTGTGTTTCCACTGACAAAGGAAATTTCTGCCACAGACGGAGAGACGAGTTTGTCCGTGGCACCCAGAGTGGTCTGTCAGCACCTTTGCAGCATTGTCCTTGCTGTCTAGCCTCAGCTTCCCCAGGTGCCCAGGGCATCTGGCAGCATTCTGTGCAGAGGGGAACGCCTGGCCCTGCTCCCTCTGTCTTACCTCGGGGCATGCCTCTTCCTGTTGGATGGACCCTGGGAGTCCAGTCCCCTTCCCGCTGCCAGGCTGCCCAGCCACACAGAGAAATAGCGGTTCCAGTCCCCCAAGGCTTCTTGGGAGCCAGGAAGATTGCGAGACACTCAAAAGCATGACGCTGGCAGCAGCCTGGCCTGAACCCCCAACTACCAAGAGCCGGACGATTTTGGGTTCAGATAACATGAGCAGTGTATCCTTAAGATCTCTTCCAGTGCCACGCTCAGTGGAAACTCGGAGAAAGCAGGCTTTTCTCCAGGGGCTTTCCTCCCAGGGAAGCAGGTCCAGCCGAGCTGACACGTGGCACTCTGTGAGGGGCGCCCAGCAGAGGTGCATCGCTTCGCTCCGCTCCGCTCCCCAGGAACAGATGTGGACCTTGATCTGTGACTCTAGGTCTTCTGTTTCTCAAACAGCCTTTTTGCTAAGCGCACGGCGTTCATCGGTCAGAGGGTGCAAGTCACTTGGTCACGAAGGTCCCGCAGGTGGTGCCTGTGGCCCTGAGCGGTGACCTCGTCTTGGTCCGGTGGAGGGTTTGTGCGTGGTTGTGCCTGCTCTCCCTTCCCCCTTCTCTGTCTCTCTCTGGCCAAAGAAGTCTGGACCATAAGATTTTTATTTAAAGCATTCCTACCTGTGGAGTGTGTGATTTGACTCCTTAAGGGAAATGAGTAGCCAAAAGACAAGGCCAGAGGTTTTGAGGTTGAAATTTAAAATTAATTTCCACTGGGCCTTCGCTTGTGTACACGTCACTGTAATTAATTGGAACTTCATTGGTCATTTGTATGTTCAGAAATGATCAGAAAGTAATACAGCCTGATGGATCGATGAGTGATCAGAATATAGGTCCTGATGGACACACCTGTGAGAAGGTTTCCCCTTTGCCTGCCCCCAAGTCCTCAGTCCTTCCCCGCTCAGCCCAGTCAGCTCGGCTGCCCTGTGGACTGGGCGCCATGGGAGGGAGCTGCCGGCAGTCCCTGCCACAGTGCTGGCAAGGCTAGACCCCCATGTCAGGGTGGCCTCTGTCCCCACCAGGCCGGGGGTCCCTCTGAAGATCCTCCTTCCTCTGCTGCCCCTTCTGTGTGACCACGTCCTGGTCGCGCCTGACTCATGGGTGAGTAGTTCAGGCTGCCTGTGGGACACAAATAGCTGATCTGGGGTTTTCAGTTGCAGAATCACTTTCAGAAAAATTAGATTTCCTTCAGAACCCTGTGTATCTAAAGCAGCAAGGGCCAACTTTGCAGACCCCCCTTCTGTACCTGGCAGCAGACCCCTTAGACGTGAGGGCCTGGCCCTGCTGGAAGGGGGCTGTGCTCCCAGTCACCCCCCAAAATGCACTGGAGAATCACGGGGTGAGGCCGCCTTCAGGCACAAGCAGCGTGGTGTGCCCGTCAGGCCGACAACTCTGCACTGCCCTCCTGGGATGCAATGCCCTTTTGTTTGTAGATGGCGACCCACTTTGGCAATGGCAGCGATTTAAGAGCTAGAAAAACAAGACTCTTCGTTTGGGGGCTGATGATTAAAAATGTGTATGGTAAGATGGGAGAGGCAAATTCTTCATTAAATACTATTTAAAATCTCTTTAATCATGTTTGTAAAGATTAAATTAGTTGAATGTTAAAATTGTGCCTTGTATTATTGATCCTTAGGAGGTTGTATCTTATAAGAAACAGAAGTTTTGAAAGCGTAATCAGGAGCCATCCTTCCCAAAAAGGGCATTAAAATTCTAGGTCTTGTTCCACAACGGTAGGTTCTGCCTGGATTCAAATAAGATTAAGTCTTAGCAAATGTGAGTAGGTTTAAAACGCCTCATGGAAGCTGTAGCACTTAAAGGATGTTAAGTATCTGAATTGGCAGAGGGGAAGAGAGGGCCGTTCCAGCAGGGCCCTCTCTTCAGCGACATTATTGTGCACCTATTCTAAAGTTCAACTTTCCAGGCTACTTGGGACATGAAGAAAATGTGTCCCTCATTGGAATGTGGGCTTCTTGAGGGCAAATACCATGCCTAAGACAGTGCTCTCAAAGTAGTATGTGTTCCAGAAGTGTCTGATTTCAAGGCTTTGCTCTGCTTTCAGGGAGTTCAGCATGTTGGGGGCTCAGTGTCTGAACCAGTAACCATTCTGGCCGCTGTATGGTTAAGTGCAGGGTGAGGGGCTTAGGGGCTGAGTAGAGAGGACAGCCTGGGGAAGGTGGGGCTGCAGGAGCATCTGGATGTATGGGTGTGATTCACATGGGCGGAGAGAGCAAAGAGGGCAGTTTGGCTGGAAACAACCCACCAGACAAGGTGGGTGTGTTCCCATCCGCAGTAGTGGAAGTAAAGCCTGGGTGAGGATGGTGGCGCCTGACCCCACAGGTCTCTGCCAGCTAAGGTTTTGGGATATTATAATCAAGTTTACAAAACCACAAATCCAGAGAGGGCCCAAACACCTTTTAAAAGGCTTTTGCCAAAAAAAAAAAAAAAAACAGTTCTTGAAAATAATGTCATCCAGAACTTCACATGCTATCCTGTGTAGTTTGAAAACCTTAAGTGTCTTCAGAAAATGTGAGATTTCTGCAACTTTGCCCTGTCACTCACCATCTTTGACACTGGATGACAGATTGGCTAACATAATGCCTGTCCCAACATAAAGAGGGAAAGAGGGCATTCATCAGTCAAGCTTACCTTGACCATCAGCAGTCCCTACAAGCGGGCGAAGGGAGGTCTGTGCCTCTGCAGGTCAGCCTGCTCTTGGTCTCTCAGCTGCGAAGGGCTGTCAGGGTTGCTGGTCCCCTGGACCCGCGCCTGGTCCCACCAGCACAGTGCGAAGGCTGGCTGGAAGGGCAGCCCACACGGTCCCAGGTTCCACAGTGTCCTAGGGCTCATGAGGAGCTGTCGCCAGCCTCCACAGACGGGCTGCCCCTACCACCTGGAAAGCCCAGGAATTCCTGGGAGATAGCAGAACAGATACTTAGGCAAGTCAAGCTTCTTCAGCGACTAAGCTTTAAAAAAGAAGTGTGTATAGCTGAGTCCCTCCGGTTTCTCCCTGAGATTGCCTCTGCCACAGAAAGCTGCTTATTTCAGGCTTCCCTGTAACATCCGCACCTTCTCCATGAGTACCTGCCTGCCCAGGAGTGAACATGGATTCAGTTCCTAAACGTTCCCTGTTTAGTCCCCGGCTTGCCCCAGGGCTGCAGGTTTGGCTTAAACTGTGCCTGTGTATAAAGCGTGAGGAAAGTGGTATGTCTTTGACTTGCAGACTTCCCTCCAAATGTTGCTTAGTTTTAGCTAGCAAAGCAGCATGTGGATGCAAGGGGTGCATCCCACTGGCCTTTTCCTCCCATGTCGGATCCGTATTGGGGTCCTGTTCCTTCCTCTCTGCCAAGAAGATAAAAACCCTACTGAGAAATCTGAAGTTCTGACGGCAGAACTAAGTCGTGGGAGGGGCAGGGGCAGTAGGAGCGTGTATGTCTTATTCCCAGACCGAAGTTGATTGGGGTTATGTTTCGTGTAGAATTTTCTGGAGGCGTCACCCTTTTTCCTAGAACGTCATGTGATTTAGTTGTGCTAATTAGGCAGAAACTTGTCGTCCCTACAGATGCCAAGACCGCAGAGGGACTCACTCTCACCAGAGACTGGGTGACAGCATCCACAGATATTTCTAGAACACGTTCATCATCTGATCTCCCCGTTTCATCTTCCTCGCATCAACAGCCCGATTTCAGACTTCTCACTGGGCAGGGAGGGGACGGATGTGCTCGGCCCCTGTTAATGAAAGTCGCGGATAGGATGGGTCGTTCCATCTGTTTTGTCACTTGGCCCGTCGCCTAGTAACTGCGGTGTGATCGCTCCGAGTCCCTCCAGCTGCATGCTTGCTCTTCCTTCCAAAGTTTCGCTTAGTCCAATGGGTTTTTAAACTTAGAAGGGCATCAACATCCATAAACCTCCCAGTTACCTAAAGTGTTTTACTCTAAACAGTGTAAGAGTGCCGAGAGCTTCATTGAAAGCCATGAAATGTGAACCCACCCTACGTACCAGTCAGTCCCCGCATCACAGCCGGCCTCTTGCCAGACGTGCTTCCTCTGTTCTCCCAGGGCTCGGTGAAGTCAGAGAAACGTGTGCAAATGGAGCCACCAAACAATGCTTAAAAATCTAAGGCAGGTGAGGGGCTGCTCTCCTTAGGACTGTTTTCAGCCAAGAGGTCTTCCTCAGAGTGGTGATTCCGGTGTTCCTCTTACATGATTATATTTATCTTCCTTTAGTTTTCACAGCCCATTTGCCCTCAGTTGTGGAGGAACCAGTTACCTCTGTCCTGTGGAGAAGGAGTCTCTGTATTAATTTTGTCCTCCGTGAGAGCTGCCTGTAGGCCTGGGCCTCTGTGCACCACACCTCCAGGCCCAGGCTGGCGCCCAAGCATGCGGGGGGCGTCACTGGTGAGGCCCCGGGGAGTGCAGGACCGAGCACCCCGGGGTCCTGGGAACCAGCCGCAGCGGGGGAGAGAGCAGTGGGGAGGGCGGCCCCTCCTAATGGGCGAACTCCCCCGAGGGGCCGGGCCCTCCAGTGAGGGAAGGGGCATTTGGCAGGAGCTGTGGGTGGCAGTGCCCTAGGCAGCCTGGTCCGCTCAGGGTGCCGCGCTGGGACTCTGAGGTGCCCTCTGCTTGCGCCCCTCCTGTGCTGCCCCAGCTCCAGCATTGGAGCAGGCTGCACGCCCTGCCTCTGCTCTCGGGGAGTGCGCTGAGTCACCTTCCCCAGCGCTGCACTGGGCCCATGGCTGGATAATTAACACCAAAGGGAACCGGGGGTGGGGTGTGAGTTAGGTAATGCCCTGCAGTTTCTCCCTGGGCACTTGCAGTAAGTTGTCCAGATTGGGACTTGGGTGGTCGGTCCCCTGATGCCTCACCGCATAGTGATGTTAGGGGTGGGTTACCAGGCGCTGCTGGAAAGGGAAACCCGAACCCCCTTGCACAGGACTGTATCGCACCCTGCCCCTCAAGCCTCAGGGCGGGGAGAGAAGGGGAAGGGCGTGACCCCAGCAGGCAGAGTGCCTCAGAGGTGCTGCTCAGCTCTACTCAGCCTGCCTGCCCTGAAGCGACAAGCCGCTCTTGTACAGCCTGCGGTGATGCTGCCCAGCACCTTACAGAGCAGAGAAACCCTCCGAGAGGCCACCAGCCGGGCGGCGGGATCTGGGGGCAGGAGAAGGGCCGTCTCCCGCTCTGTTGCCCGTGCCCCTGCTGAAAGCCAGGGTCCTTCCTTTGGGGCCGTAACAGGGCTGCTGCGCCCAGGGCCTGTGGTGTGGCAGACACCGGGCCCCGCCAGCTCCTGCGCGTTGGGAGTGGGAGGAAGCGCCGGCCAGTCCGGCCGCAGAGGAGATGGAGGTCACACGTACACACATGTGCGACAGCTGCAGATGGGTTTACATGACGTTTCATGGATGGAGTGAGTGTGCGTGTGGCTGAGTGTGTTTGACTGCGTGTGGGTCTCTGTTTGTGAGCTCACTGATGCTTCAGTGCCCATCCACTTTATCTGGCCAGAACACCGTGAGCTGCGGTAGCTCCCCGGCCACGCTCTGCATTTCCTGGCCTGGAACCTGTGTTTTATCTACCACCACAGCCGACACTGTGCCTGCGAACCGAAGGTCTCCTTCTGTAGGCCTGTCGCGTCCGCGCCTGCAGCCGCGTCTCTGAGTGTACTGCTCCTTCTCCAGTCCTCCAGCGTCCCTGGGCTTGGTGGCCGCATGGTCTGTGGAAGACTTGTGTAAATTCAGACTCTCCGAGGGGGCCTCTTTCGTGCCTTACATTGAAGACTGGGGAAAAATAATGCTAATTATTAAAGGGATGTTTTGTGGATGTTTTTTGTGGCCATATGTGTGTGTGATATAGATATTTTCTGTAGATTTTTAATATAAAAAGCAAATTCGTAAGACAGCCCATGTGGAGATGAATTACTCCTTTTTAGTGGGGGGGAGAAGATTCCCCCACCCAGCGGTGCAGATTAAGCCTTTGGAAAGGGGCCAGTTACACCTGGCCTGGTATAGGATTTGGGGTCCACACAGCCCCTGGGGGAGAACCAGAGAAGCCCAGCTGGTCCACTTAGGGTGACCAGCCCCCTGGCTTCAGCAGAGAAGTCCAGAGTCCCATACGCCCTCCAGAAGGCTGGAGTGGAACTCGTCTGTACCCTGGGCAGCCTGCTGGCACACCCCCTGCTCGCCTTTCCCTGTTAGCCTCCAGACACGAGTGGCTCCACCTCCCCCAGGCTTTTCAACCTGAGAGCTTTTTGTGATCAAGCACAGAAATGAGGTGAGTAGTCTCCACTCTTTGTCCTGTTTGCAGACTCTTGAAGCTGGTGAAGCGAAGCAGACAGCTGCGCCCCGAGGCCCTTGGCTCAGAGCGGGGGTGAGGAGGGGGCGGCGGGGCTGCTGAGGCAGGACCTGGAGGTGCCGCTCTGACTGCTTGAATGTCCTGAATCGTCTCTGGTTCTCTTTTCTCCTCCTGTAGACCCTCAAACTGACACAAGACCTACAGAGAAAACCCTTTGCCAAATCTGCTCTCAGCAAGTGGACAATGATACCGTTTACAGCTTAACGCCTTTGTGAGTCCCACACCATGTTCCTAGCCCAGCGGAGACTGGTAACAGCCCCTGCCCCAGGGGAAGCACCCACCCTTGGAACAGGACCCTGTGCACAGTACGCAGAATCTTCCTCTACGGGGCGATGAGCCACCTGCCAGCGAAGGACCATGCCCGGTCAGCACCCCGCCTCCTCCAGAGCACACCCGGAGCCCCCACTGGCTGCTGTGGCGGTTCAATACTGCGATGGGTTATGGGATGTTTTAAGTGTTGTTTTTGTGTTTGTTTTTCCTGACTTTGAGTTTTTCTCATGCATTAACTTGCAGTATTTTTATGTTAAAATGTTGATCATCTTTCACGTGGCAGATTTAGAAACAAGGAAACTGTACCCATTACCATTCTGGCTTTGGCGTCACGAGCACGGGGCCGTGGGACTCCGTCATGAACTAACAAGCTGCACAAACTAGAGGGAGATTGCTTTCTTCTTTTGTTTGTTAGAGAACTACTCTTTTCTAAAAACTGAGCAACAGCACACATGTTGGCTGTGCACACAGTCAGGGACCGGGCTCTGCACAGGTGGAAGCATCGGTGTGCTGCCTGGGCCGCACGTGTTTCAGCCCCACGTCGAGTGGTCGGGGGTCAGGCCCCCACGCCTGCTCTGCAGTTGCCAGACAAGTAGGGCCTGTCGCCTTCCGTCAGCAGCCTCAGCTAATGCAGTGAGCAGTGAAGGGATGTTGGTTAGAAACTAGAACCTGCTCCAGACAGAAAGGAGCTCATCTGTCCACGCACTGCCAAATGCCACTTCAGGGTTTACTTTTAAAGAGGGAAAAAAGTCCTATTTTGCTTTGCAGAAGAAATGAACTTCCAGGTGAGCATTAAACCTGCAGTGAGAAATGTGTGAAAAGTACAAACCGAAGTCACTATTTTCCTAAATACACACCCTTGATTACTTGCAGCCTTTCTGTGTATGATCTGATCTGCTAGATGTGTGACAGGCAGTAGCATACAAATTGATTTTATATATGTATGTATGTATATATGTACATATATATATAAGCTTAGACTGTAATTGTACAAGTGACAATGGAAGTACAAGATAGGGCAGTTTTAAGGTTTTTTCCCCCACTTTCTTGCTTCTCTGGATTTCATTTTGTTTTCAAAAAGTCACGGTGCTGTGTAGGTGCTTCTGTTTGACCTGGAAAGTGTGATTATATTAGTTACCCTCAGTAGACAGAGAGCTGGGAACACCTTTGGTATGTAGGAAGCTGGGGTGACGATGCTCTGACAGCACAGTGTATGCATACTTCTCCAAAGTGGTATATAAAGACTCTTTTCTTTGCATAAAAGGCATTAGACATATAAATGTATAAATATATTTTATCATGTACAGTACAGCAACGGAGCATTCTGCATGGACGTTAGGAACACAGGCTGGGATTCCACCACAGACCTCCCTGCACAAGTTCTCGCTGACGCTTGCACCGTGCAGTGGGCGCTGCCCCTTCCCCCGCCGCTCGCCACCAGGGGCCCTTGTGCACCTTTGCTTTGTGATTCCTCTGGGGTGGTGGTGGGGGGGGTGGTAACAGCTCCTGCATAATGGAAGCTCCATTTGGCATTGTCACACGTCCCTCCTGCCCCGTTGGGGCTGTCGCTCAGTGGCCCTGTTGCTTTCACCCCACCTCGTACTGATTCTGTAAATTCTGCAGTTGTGATTATAGTAGACCTGTAGCATAACGCCTTTTCTAAACTACACATTTATAATCTTCATTTTAGAAGTATGTATAATTTTTTAAAAATATGTATCCTATTCACGTGGTCTGCTTGTCAGTGAGACAGGCTTTTGCTTACTATTTTTTTTACAATAACGCTGGCCACTTCTTGGTTCTTTGGTCGTCTGCTGGACACACACACTGTGCCGTGTCAGCGAAGGAGGCTGCCCCTCTGGGTCCCAACGTGGCACTGCCAGGTGAGGCTACAGTTCTGAGACGGCGGTGGCCACTGCAGGGAGTAGGGTGGGGGCGCCCAACACCAGGCAGATCCCCAAGAGCTCCCCTGAGCTCAGAGAGACAGGCTAACAAGTAGCCATTTGCCCTTGCAGTTTTGTAGACCCTGGGAGCAACTTTGGGAGTGAGGAAAGCCACCCTTCATGGGTTTCAACTCCAACTGTTGAATTCCTTTCAGATTTGTGGTATTTCTTTTTTTTTTTTTTCCTCTCAATGTTTATTAAATTTCAGGCAGGCAGAATGTCTTACAAAATACCCCAGAAGCAGATTGTAACTTAACCTAAAACAGCTGAGGGAGGGACTGAGGCGGTAGGAGAGCAGGCAGCCCAGAGCCCATCAGGAGGGTGGACGGGGAGGATACTGTGACTGCAAGAGCGTCTCCACGCGGAGTGTCGTTGAGAGCTGAGGTCAGAGCTGTCAGGAGCCAGCATCGGCCCCAGGAGGGGGTGAGGCCGGAATGGGATGGGGCAGCAGCCCCACTCACCCTTGGCCACCCGGGCTTCCCGCCCAGAGGCCCGGCTCTGCTAGACTCGCCCACTGGGTTCTGAGGCGGGCAGACTGGGCAGAGGTGTGACCTCAGTCCTCTCACTTAGAGACCCTGCTTTCAGGAAGGGCCAGCTGCCAGCCACCAGGTGCGTGCTGAGGGTCAGGGGTCCCTCACAGTGAGTGTTCTGACCTGGAGCATCTCTACAGAATATTTAGTAGCCCCAGCGAGCCTGGAAGCTGTGACGTTTGCATCCCGATGAGCTCTACCCAAGGTTTCTGCCAGCCTCTAAATAAGCTGCCCCAGGGTACCTTCTACTTGCTGGTGGGAAATCAGAAAGAGGACTGGTGTTGAAAGTGTGACAGGCACCCCAGGGCTCTGGTTCTCTTCAGGACTCCAAAACCCGGTACCTTTTACCAAAGTCAGAAAAGAGCTTTATCATAAGCCCTCACTGTCCTGGTGTGAGGCCTAATTGCCAGGGTTGGTGAACCCCATGAACTGTGAATGAATTGGAGGTTGGCTTCCTTTATTGCATCCTCTACAATATAATGATTGCTGAAACACGTATTTTTTTTAACTTTAAGAAGTTCGTCTTTCCCAGTGGGAGGAGCTGCACACATGTGGAAGACAATATGAGAGTGTGTGTGTGCATGTGCGTGTGTGTAGTGGTGGGTTCTGGTGCGTGTGTGTGTCGCTTTCCCACCCTGAGGGAGGAGGCTCACTGCTCGGGACCTGCGTGTGCCCAGCTTGCGGTGTCCTTTCAGGTGGCTTCTGAACTTGCTAACGATGCTGGGAGCAGACCTTATCTCTACCTAAGGAGCCCTGCTTAAAGGATAAGGGAACCCCGATCCCTTGGGAACACCAGTCCATTGCACATGCTGATGCCACACGCTGTCAGTGGGGAACTAAAGTATGACCCTTTTTCTCTGAAAGCAGAAACAAAACCCTACATCTCTGAACTCGGATTTCGTTTTTCTTGCTGTATTTAGGGAACACTATATGATTAGGCATAATTTTTTTTTAATTAAGAAAAGCAAACTTTTTTGTAGAAAAGCAATCACTGGGAAAGAGGTACGAGAAAGCCAGCCTGCCCCGGAGATGGGGGCGGGGGAGCACCACGGCGGGAGGCGAAATCCCGGCTGTCACATCCTAACGGCGGTGCCCAAGGGACTGAAACAAGTACATTTGATCCAGATCTTTGGTGGGAATATTTTATGCAGTTTGAATGAGTGAACTATTTCCCTCTTGTTTAGTTTTATTTATGTGTGGGTTTATTTTTCTTTCTTCTGATGAATGATTGGTTCTGAGGCCTCTGCCACACTCCAGAAATACTAGTGCGGCTGCTTTAAAAACCTGTGTGCCTGGTCACTTCCTCCTCCCCAGTTATCTCACTGCCTGGCAATCAGTCCTTCTCTTGTATATTTGTCCCAGCACGTTATGTACACAGGAAATGTAAACAGGTGTGAAGGAGGACCAGAAAAATTAGTTAATATTAAAAAAAATGTATTGTGAATTTTGGCTTCACATGTTTAACTTTTTTTTAAGAAAAAAGTTGCATGAATGGAAAAAAATCTGTATACAGTATCTGTAAACCTGTCATACCTGTTTCAGTTCCTCGCTCACACCCCATACAGACTGTGATTCAGTGCGGTGCATGGCCATACGCAGCCCCTAGGAGTCAGGCAGGCGATACTTTGGTTTGAAGCGCCTCATCCTTTCTTTCAGGGCGAACACTACCATGTTGCATTCTCCCTGAGGATTTTGTCTAACCGTATGTCGCCATGAATTAACTCTACCATCTTTCTTTTCAAGAATCAAAACCAGTTTGATTTGGGAACCTTCCCCTTTCCAAATGAAATGGAGATGCAGTACTTTCCTCAGTGTCTGTAGATATTGCCTTGTGTATTCCATTTAAAGCCATCATCTAGTTTGTAAAGGATGGTGACGCATGTAAATAAAGCATCAGTGACCTTCTGTCTTACTCTGAGAAGTCTTTTGTTCTCCCTCCCTCCTTCCTTCACCCCAGATGTGAAATAGTGGAGCTTGTCTCAGGGTCTTCCTGTGGGGCCGCGTCACAGGCCAGGAGAAGCACAGCCTCTACCCTGAGGCCTCTGAACCAGGTGAGTCTCAGCGGACTCTCTCGGGCCCCCTTGGGGCCTCCACTGACGACCAGACGACTTGTTAAAAGCAGCTCGGCGGCGCTGTCCACGTGGCTGAGGCCACCTCTGGGGAGCACGGAGTCGCTGCCTCCGGAAGCTTCCAGGCACGGAGGCTGGATGCAGGCTCCCTGCCCTCACTGAGTGTCGGAGGTTCCGGCCTGTCAGAGTTGTGTTCTGATGAGGTTCACCCAGGCGTGTGCAGCAGACAAGCATCCGTCATGGACTGTGTCCTGCATGTGGAGAGTCAAACAACTTCAGGCTTCTGGCGGCCAATTAGGCATGTCCTGTGTGTACGTTTGAGGCCGCGCAGTCGAGCTGGGGGACTCCCCCTACTGCAAAATGATTCCCACTGGCCTGGATCGTGGATTTCATTTTAGCAGGTATGTTTTAAAAATGCCTTAGGATTGGGGTCAAAGTCCCAAGCAACATGATGGATTCCTACTTCATATCAAGCAGGTAGAAAAGGGTTTTAAAGTTTGCCCTTTGGGATAAATTCTGTGTTGGTGGAGAATCATTCTTAAGCTTGTCCTCACCACTGTTTTAATCACCTGTAAGGTAAGACCTCACCATCTTCTCATGCCAAAGCCAGCTGGGAGGAGCGTGTCGTCCTCATCAGAGGTCGCTTCCCAGTTTGATTGTGTCCCAAAAAATGAAAGGCGGAAATCCAGTAGCGTCCTGCCAACCCAGGTAAAGACTCGACCGAGAACTAATTAAAGTCAACTTAAGGGTCAACAATTGCAAGTCAGTCTCAAGCGTGGCGGTGAGCCAGACCCTGCGCTGAGCGCCGGCGGGACCTGGGCCTTGCCCTCTGCAAGGTCATCTGCTGATGGATGCTCGACCTTGACTAACGAAGGGCTGGTTCCTGCTGACTCTACTGCTTCCACTTCTGGTTTTAGAGAGGAAGAATTTGGACTAGTTAGTCTTTGCAGATTCATTAAAATTGGACTGGTTACAACACTTCAGGCGTGTGATTTTGCAAATGTTCATGTAGTGAGGAGATGTGACACGAATCAGCCACTCTGCCAGGCACCCACCACCTTCCTCCACAGCCACTCCCCTAAACAAGGGAGAAAGGGAAGCCTGGGTGGGGGGGGTGTGGGCAGCAGTCATGCTGTGGGGGCCTTGGCTCCTGCGCCGGGCAGGTCAGGGTGGTCTGGGGGTGGGGGAGGCTCCGTGGAAGGGCTCCCTCCTGTCTCTGCTTCTGTCTCCGATAAAGAGAAGCAGCGGGGCTGCGCTCCACGGACTGGGGGGAGAGGGTTTTCCAGTTTCTGACGTTAGAAGGGGAGGCTCTCAGCGAGGCCTAAGACCTGAAGAAAATCAAACTGTGTGCGTAGTTATGGTGTCGGTCACACAGTAACAGCACACACTTAGTTCTGTCTTCTCTGAGGACTTCCTAGAAACACTACGAACATCCCCACTCACACTCAGGAAAGAAACGTCTCGATGGCCTTGTACCGGCTCAGGACCTCTGAGTACGTTCATCTGTCCTGCCAGCACCTCCTGTACCTCAGGGGCTGTGTGTCGCTGGGAGCGGGGCCCTGCGCGGCTCAGCCAAGGGACGCAGGCCTGCGAGCACAAGCTCTGGCCGTGAGGCCTCTAAGTGCTGTTGGGCTGCAGGGAGAGGAACCAGCCAAGCCCAGAGGTCGTGAGCATTTGAGAGGGAAGGCAACGTGATGCACCTCAGGGATAAAGGCCGGAGGCAGGAGAGGGTGAACGTGTTCGGGAGACTGAGTAGTGGGCTCATTTAAGGCTTGAAGAGCTCAAGGAAGGTAGGTGAGAAGTCAGGCAAGGAAAGTGAGCTGCCAGAAGACTGCAGACCCGGTGGCCTGGACCCTGCTAGCGGAAGGGGAAGTCCGCAGGCACCTGCCGGAAGGGCCCTCGGGCACACTGCGGAAGGCAGGTGCCAGGAGGAGGGCTCCGAGGGAGACAGGCGCGGGCGTCCTAGAACCATCTCACAAGAGGCTCCCCACAGAAAATGATGTTCATGGCCCACCGGGCTGGCAGCAAGCTGTTCCTCTGGCAGCCGCAGGCCCTACAGATTGATTGCCCCCAAGGGCTGAGGGACCAGCAGCTCTGAGAGCCCTGATGGGGAGGGAATCAGGAAGAATGTGCTGTGGTGCCGTCGGGGACCGAGGCAAGGGACTTCTTTCTGCTGTTTGCCTTGTGTGCTGTTCTGATTGATCAGAGTGGGAGTATGCTACTTCTAGAAACAAACATAGTTTCTGAAGAGCCACGTTGGAGAGGCTGACTTTGACTCCTCGCCTTCTAAGACCGGAGGGAGTCGGGGGTCGGGCGAGAAGGGTGTTCGTGGGAGTGGAGATGAGGGAACCACACTGTTTAAAAGGAATCTGACTGATAAGGAATAGTGCCGTTGTAAAGTTGTCTTCATAAATTTGGGTTTCCGTAACTTCCTCTTATTAACATCTTGAGTGTCAGTGTAGAAACTAATCAGAACAAAATATGCATTTATTAAAACAATTATGAAAATGCTCGTATACATAGAAAATGTTTATTTTGGATGTATTCTTAGAAATTACCCATTGCTCTTATTACACGATGGCCTCATACATTAATAAAAGACCGATAAGAAGCAGAAAAAAAATAAGTGTGTGCCAGTGTGAACTATGGCTGGGAGAGGCTTTAAAAGGTAAAAACAGAGGGGAATAATCCTCGTGTCCTGTTCACGGGCCTCCCACAGGGCTCGGGGCATCAGCTCTTGCCACCCCACGTTTCTTGTGTATCCTTCCAGAATTTCTTAGGCACCTAGAAGCAATAAAAACACAAATTCTTATATTCCTCTTTTTATTGCACAAAAAGTACATTAGACACACTGTCGGGCATCTTGCTTTGTTAACGATTTCTCACACATGGAGGAAATACCGGCACACAGAACTCACCCTCACCTCTGTGGCTGCATAGCGTCCCCCCTGTATTATCGGATCCTACTCATTTGGTCAGTAGCCTCCTGTTGACAGACATGACATCATTTCTAAACATTTACTGTCAGCAACACTGCAGAGAATAACATTATGTCTGTATTACATACATGTGTAAGAATCTTCATAGAATTTATGCCCAGACGTGGAATTGCAGGTCAAAGGGTACATATACATTTGTGGTTTGAATAGAAATTGACAAAATTGCCCTCCACTGTGCCAATTAACACCACCAGCAACATACGAGAATCCCTGTTTTCCCACAGCCTCATATTTTTAATGTTTTAAACGTTAAGTTGCAAGTCTGTCCCTGTCCCCCTTCAAGCTCCCTGACATCTGTGCCCAGGATGACAAGCGCCGGTGAGGGTTGGGCAGGAGGTGGGAGAGAGGCTGAGCAGGCAGACTGGGGTGCCTGGCGGTGCCAACAAGGGAGAAGGGGCACTCCGAGCTGCATCCCGCCGTTGGGCTGGCCCGCTGAGATCCTGCTGCCAGCCTGACCCTCCAGTCTGGCCACAGGCTCCTCCCCTCACGCCACCTGCTGGGCCGCCAGCCCAGGTCAGCTGGGCCTCCCAGCCCCACTCCCTGCCTCCCAGAATGCCAGAGGGAGCTGTCAGCGAGCAAACAGGTCTGGCCTCTGGCACCGAACCACACACCTAGACCTATTCACAGGCAGATTGCACAAGCGCTGGAGAGGGGCTGGGCCTGGGGAGGGCCCTGGGGCCCAGGGGTCCACTGCCACCCAGCACAGGGGCTCCTCCAAGGAAGGCCCCGACACCCCGTGGCTGCCCCCAGGACCGCTTCTGCCCTGCTGTGTAGGTTAGCACCTGGGGTGGAGGGGCGTCACCCTGGGGAATGCCAGAACCAGGAGGCAGGCTTTTACGGAAGAGGAAACTGAGTCACTTGACAGAGGAGCCTTGCATGACTTCCCGGGGAGCCAGGCTCAGAGCAGGGTGGGAACCTTGGCTTTGGAGTGAGGCCTTGATTTGTGCCCGGCCCTGCTGCTCACTAGCTGAGTGGTGACGGGCAGGGCGGCCGCCTGCTCGGAGCCTCCGTTTCCCCTCTGCGGAGTGGGCCCGCAGCGGCCCGGGCTCCGGGTCACAAGCATCCCTGGAGCTCCATGCGAGAGTGCAGGGGCTGGCCCACTCTGGGGTGTTGGCTTTTTATCATATAAAAACATAAAATTTGACCTATTAATGAACCCCATCAGCATAATTAGATGGCACGGTAATTAAGCATAAAAGGCAGCCTGCGTGTGAGGTTTCTCTGCTCGTTTTCTCTGACGCTCTCTGGGGTTGGGCAGCAGCGTGCTCATGCTCCGCTGGGTGCCGTGGTCATTGTCACAAAGAGCTCAGATGACCGGGCAACACTTGTTCCCAGTCCCAGCTCTGCCACGCAACACTGTGGCCTTGAGCGAGTCAGTCACCCGTCTCTGGGCCTCTGTTACCCCCCGGCAGAGCCCACTTCACGAGCAGCCCGCACGTCAGGAGGCTGCCATGACAAGCCCAGCCACAGAGCAGGTATCAGAGCCACGGCCCTGCTTTGGGTCTGTAATTTGCAGAGAGTGAGGCATTCCTTTTCCAGAAGGGAAACTGAGGCAGAGTCCCACATGGGCCTAAAGTTTAATGGTTTCTCCCTACAACCTGGCCCTCTGCCCCAGGCCTCCAAAGGATTTCTCAACCCCCTGCATGTCTGTTTTCTCTGCAAAATAGAGATGATGTTAATAAACTTACCCCATTGTGTTACTGTGAAGGTTAAATGAGATGCTACATAGCGTGACTAGCGTAGAACAGTAGCTCACACTTAGCAAATGCTTGATAACCTAGTTGACACTTATTAGTATGTTGGAACTGCTCAGTAAATCACAGATCATAGATTTTATAA